GCCACTTTGAGCTGTAGATCCACTTCAGGTTTTTGAGTGGTTAATTGGAGATAAGAGTCTCATGGGCTTTCTGTCCTGGGCTGGCTTCAAACTGTGATCCTCAGATCTCAGCCTCCTGAGTAGCAAGGATTGTAGGCATGAACCACTGCCACCTGTTTTTATGTATTTCTAATTTTCAGGCTGGATGGGTTTAAAGCAAATGCAAACTCCATTGTTTTTTTCTTATTTATTTATTTTTGTCAGTTGTAAGGGCTTGAACTCAGGGCCTGGGTGCTGTCCCTCAGCTCTTCAGCTCAAGGCTATCGCACTACCACTTTAGCCACAGCTCTACTTCCAGTTGTCTGAGTGGTTTATTAGAGATAAGAGTCTCAAGGACTTTCATGCCGGAGGTTGGCTTTGAACCATGATACTCAGATCTCAGTCTCCTAGTAGCTAGGATTACAGGTGTGAGCCACTGGCGGCTGGCTGTTTTTGTTTTTTTCCTTTTTCTTTCTTTGTTCTAAAATGCTGGACCTAGAGCTTGAACTCAGGTCATGTAGCACTGTCCCTGAGCTTTTGTACTAAAGAATATTGATCTACCACTGGAGCCAAAGCTCAACTTCTGGCTTTTTGGTGGTTTAAGTGGAGATGAGTTTCACAGACTTTCCTGCTCACGCTGGCTTTGGATTGTTATCCTCAGATCTCAGTCTCCCGAGTGGCTAAGATTACAGGTGTGAGCCACCTGCACCAGGCTGCAAACTTCTTTGTGAAAGAAGAGGAACTCCAGGGATAGGAAAACTCAACAGCCATCTCGGCACTGTGGAAGCCAGCCCTGCGCTGGAGCGCCCCCTGCAGGCACCTAACATCATTGCAGAGAAGCGTGTCTGATCACTGCTGCCCAGTTTGTTGCTCTACATCTCTGCCAGTCATTTCAGAAATGGCTCTGGTTGGAGATTTCTTTTTCTTTTTTTTTGGGTCCGGTCGTGGGGCCTGAACTCTGGGCTTGAGCACTGTCCCTCAGCTCTTCAGCGCTCTACCACTTGAGCCACAGTGCCACTCCCAGCTTTTTTCTTTTTGCTTGTGTGGTGCTAAAGAATCAAACCCAGGGCCTCAGGCATGCAAGGCAAGCACTCTACCACTGAGCCACCTTCCCAGCCCTGGTTGGAGATTTCTTACACCCTACCTGGAGGGGGCATCTGGAAAGGAGAATATGAGTCTGATCCCAGTGAACCAGAGAAAAGGCAGTATTGGAAATATAACAGGACAATAATGAATTCAAAATCTTGGGCTATGGCTAGTGTTTAGACCACTGGCTAGGCTGCTGGCCTTTTTTGCCTGCTTGGGGAAATGCTGTAGAACTGATGGGGGGGGCAGTTCTGATGAAATAAAAAAAGTTCCAGCTTCCTTATATGGATGCTTTGGTTTCTGGGTAAGAATCCCATAGAATAGAGCCATAGATGTGCTAGGAAAGATGAGGAGGCGAGCATGTGGATTGTGAGCACACATCTGAAGGGCAAACACTGCCTGGTCACAGGCCTGGGTCCGAGGTATTTACTTGACAGCCCCCAGGCTATGTAGTGAGGTGTGCTTTTCTGGCCCCTACTTGTTGCTGGCACAAAGTTGATTATATTTCACTGCTGCTCAGTTTAGCAGGGCCAAAAGTATGTCTTCAGGACAATTTTTGCTTAAATCAGTAAAAGCAACCATTTAAGAATCAAGTCTTAGGAGACTCTGCAGAATAGAGCATTCTTGATTCCTTAGCCTCAGCTTTGGAAATAATTTCACAGCTAGTATGACTCTAGAATGGGTTGTAATGCTGGGGTGCTCATGCCTATAATCCTAGCTACTCAGGAGGCTGAAATCTGAGGATCATGGTTTGAAGTCAGACCAGGCAGGAAAAGCTGTGAGACTCTTATTTCCAGTTAATCACCAGAAAACCGGAAGTAGAGCTGTAGTTCAAAGTGGTAGAGCACTAGCCTTGAGCAGAAAAGTTGAGGGACAGTGCCCAGGCCTTGAGTTCAGGCCCCAGGACCAAAAAAAAAAAAGAGGGTTTTTTTTTTGTTTGTTTTTTTGGTCAGTTTTGTTGGACTTGAACTCTGGGCCTGGGCACTGTCCCTCAGCTCTTCAGCTCAAGGTAAGGGCTCTAGCACTAAAGCCACAGTGTTTTCTGATGGTTAATTGGAGATAAAGAGTTTCACTGACTTTCCTGCCTCAGATCTCAGCCTCCCGAACAGCTAGGATTACAGGTGTGAGCTATTGGTGCCTGGCTTCGGTTGTTTTTGTTTTGTCTTTCTTTTAGATTAAAAATATTTATTACAAGCAGATTCATAAATTATATTTTATTATCTTTAAGTAGTCATACAAGGGGTTATGGTTGAACGTGTTGGCTTATGAGTACAATACATCTCCATCAGTGTCACTCCTTCCATCATTTTCTTCCATCTCCCCTAACTCCACCCATCTCCTCAATTTTCCTAGTTTCATAGGATATATAAGAATGGGTTTGTAGTTGGGCAGGGTGGCTTATACCAGTCATGCTACTCAGGAGGCTGAGATCAGGAGGATTATTTTTTGTTTTGTTTTTTGGTCAGTTGTGGGGCCTGAACTCTGGGCCTGGGCGCTGTCCCTCAGCTCTTCAGCTCAAGGCTAGCGCTCTACCACTTGAGCTACAGCGCTACTTCTGGTTTTCTGCTGGTTTATTGGAGATAAGAGTTTCACGGACTTTCCTGCCCGGGCTGGCTTTGAACTGTGATCCTCAGATCTCAGCCTCCTGAGTAGCTAGGATTACAGACATGAGCCACTGGCACCTGGCTGAAGATGATGGTTTGAGGCCAGACTGGCAAAATATTCATGAGATTCCATTTCAACTAATAATAAGCTGGACATAATGGCACATATCTGTCATTCTAGTTTCACGGGAAGCATAGGATTATGGTATAGATGGGCCCAGGAAAAAAGCAAAACCCTATTTAAAAAATGACAAAAGTAAAAACAGTCAGGTTACACCTGAAATCAATCCTAGTTATTAAGGAGGCTGAAATTCAGAGTGCTGAGGTTTGAAGAGGAGAAAAGTGTGAGAGATGAGAGAGTGAACCCAAGAAAGAAGACAGAGGAGCAAATAGGAGCTTGCACATAAGAGGGAAGGAATCTTTGTTTGTTTGTTTGTTTTTTTGGGTCCGGTCATGGGGCCTGAACTCTGGGCTTGGGCGCTGTCCCTCAGCTCTTCAGCTCAAGGCTAGCGCTCTACCACTTGAGCCACAGCGCCACTTCCGGCTTTTTTCTTTTAAGAGACTCACAGACTTTCCTGCCAGGGCTGGCTTTGAACCGTGATTCTCGATCTCAGCCTCCTGAGTAGCTAGGATTACAGGCATGAGCTACCCAAACCCAGCTGAAATGCTGCAGTTTTAAGCAGCATTTTCTAGCTTTCTACTTAAACCACAGAAGTTAGTAATATGTAGAAGATAGTTTCACCTCAAGTGAAAAAGTGTACTGTTCTCATTTACAAGCTTCTATTCAGTCCCTGAACTTAAATAAAAATTTTAGCTGTGTAGAGAGTTCTTCTCAAATATGGAATTGTACAGGAAGTTTATGCCACTTCATGAATATTTAAATTTAGATCTTCATGTTAGTTTTAGAAGGAAGTCCGTCAGCTGAAGATTGTAGTAACAGGATGAAGAACTACTGACTTTGACCTCTGGTCTTGACATCACTTGAACACAGGTTTTCTTTAAAACAAGGATGTGATTGGACTTTAGATAACCCATAAATAAACAATAGATGTATGAGTTGTGTTGTAGTTCAGTTAACTTCATTTCAGAAGTAGGTCATTTATTTTGCATTTCCTTCCTTCCTTCCTTTTTGGTTGTAGGCCTTGAACTCTGAGCCTGAGCTCTTCAGCTCAAGGCTAGCGCTCTACCACTTGAGCCACAGCGCCACTTCCGGCTTTTTTCTTTTTGCTTATGTGGTTCTGAGGATTTGAACCCAGGGCCTCATGCATGTAAGGCAAGCGCTCTACCACTGAGCCACCTTCCCAGCCCGAGGGAAGGAATCTTAAAGTACAGAGGCAAGAAATTCTACAATGTGCCAGCATCTAGCTATTGAAACCAGCGTGACCAAGAAAGTCTCGGATTAACCACCAAAAAGCTAGAAGTGGAGCTGTAGCTCAAATGGTAGAGAGGCGAGCCTCAGAGACAGTGCCCAGGCCCTGACTTCAAGATAGCACTGGCTCACGCACACAGACACACACACACACTTTTTTGAAAAGGGAGAGGGAATCTGGATGCTGTTTACCTTGGCTAGTAGTAAACCATGAGGGTATGATGGTTCATGTTACATTCAGATGACAGGAATAGAAGGCAATTCATTCATTCTTTTGACAAGTATTGAGGGCTCTCCATATACCAGACTTTGACAAGTACTTCAAGATCTACCGTGAGTGCTGGGCACTGTCTTTTGATCTTGGGAAGCAAAATTGAACAACTGGGATTATAAGACAAAACAAAACAACAACTAGGACAACCAAAACGCCTACAGGTCCCACATGATGTTGCTCTTTCCTAGCTCCCGCTAGCAGGTGGACTACAACTCCCGTGATGCTCTCCCGGTTCACCCTAATAGGGCGCCACCTCTCGGCCGGCCGCGGACTACAACACCCAGAATGCTCTGCTCCCGCTCCTGGGTGTTGGTGTCCCTCTCCCGGCGTGGGACGCGGTAGTGGCCAGCGAGAGTGCCAGGCCCGGGCGGCCCCGTGTCCTTCGCCGGGTCAGGGACGAGGCAGTGACTGGACTTCTGGGCACTGAGCCCGAGCGCGCGCGCACAGGCGGCCGGCGTCCCAGCTGCCGGTTCGCGGCCCCCCGCACTCCTTCTCGAGCTCCTCCCGCGGCCGCCCGGACGGCCCCGGGGACTTGACGGGCCTGGGGCTGAGGTGACGGCCTTCGAGGGCCGGACAGAACCGGCCCACGGACGGCGCCCGCGGCGGTGGCGCCGGGGCCGGAGGAGGAGGAGGGGGAGGAGGAGGAGGAGGAGGAGGAGAGAAGATGGCGTCGGAGCTGGAGCCCGAGGTGCAGGCCACCGATCACAGTTTGCTGGAATGTTCCGCCGAGGAGACCGCGGGGGTGAGTGAGTGCCGGCGCGGGGCCGGTTCTGTCCGGCCCTCGAAGGCCGCGCCCCGAGGGAGGAACGGACTCCTGGAAAGCAGCCGGGCCCTGACTGGCAAAAACAGCCGGGGAGGCCGCCGGTCCTGCCCGTCGCCACCCGAGCCGCGCAGCGTTGCAGCCGCCTCTAGTCCACTTCCCCCTGCCGCCGAGCGAACCCTCGGCGCTCCCACTATCCCGCTGTCCCCGCACGCTCCGGGAGTCCCCGCACAGGCGCCTTTGACCTCTAGGACCGCTGGTGCGGGAGCCGAGGGAAGGAGACGACTTCTAGGGTACCGTCTCCCCTTGTTACCTCCTTGATTTCGGGTCCAGGGTCGGCTGGAGCGGCGCCTCCCCCAGCAAAGCACGTCACCCCAAGCGAGCCCCAACTTTGTTGGTGGGACTAACCCAAAGCACCGAGGAATCCCGACCGCACGTCCCCTGGTTTTCCCCTCTCGGAAGTATTTTTGCTGATTTGTTGTTGTTGTTGCTGGTGGGTTTTGCGCTGATTTCTTTAGTGGACCACGTTGATGTACATATAGGAAGTAGTGTCTCCGCTCGTCTACCGAGCATGAAAATGTAATAGTGGAGCTTGGGAGATTAAAAAGGGAAATTATAATCTTTCTAGGAGTTGGGCAGAGTTGGAAGGAGAACAGGCGTTATGTAACTTTGAGAGAGCAGCTTTGGTTCAAAGCCGTAGCACCAGCCATTGAGCCCCAGACTTAGACCATGGAAACTTCGTAAGTGTCCTGGGAATCGCCTAGTATTCGTGGCAGAGTGAGTGCCTCCCTGCTTCAACAGACGCGCAGGTAGCGTTCCCCAGTAAGGACGGGAATCTCTTATTAGAACCTTTCCACCGTGATGATGAATGGACCCCAACAGCTTGGGCCAGACCACTAAGGCCTCCAGTTTAAAAAGCACCTAGGAAGGCTGTGACCCAACAAAAAATGTGCAACGAGGGGGGGGGAGGGCACTAGTTTACTTGTTAAATCTTAAGTCTTTTTAATTTTTCCCATTTATGTTCTTAGCATTGCACAACACGGGGATTCTCAGCCCCCATCTGCCTTTCATTTATCAAAGAAATTTGAAAAAGAAAATGAAAGTGGTGTTGAGTAAGCAGGAGAAAATAGTAACAGCTGATTTAGTTTGTTTTGCTATCCGTGTGTCTTCTAATTTGATATCTATTTGCCTCAAAGCAGTTTTTGTTGTCCAGTGTTGGGTCTGGCCCTCATTCGCACAGTTCAAGTAATCAACTAGAGCATCTTCAGTTCGTTGAGGTTCCAGCGGAAACCAGTTATAGATATACTCCGTGGCCTCCTCGTGCTCTGGAGGACATTGCTTTTGGTTCTTGTACACTGAAAATTTCCAGCAGATATAGTGCGGAAACTAAGGGAAATGGAGCACAGCATTATACACTCGAACTTAACTTTTTGAGTTTTCAAGGTCGAAATCTGAGCTACTTTTTGCTCCATTTACTTTTTTTTTTTCCTTAACAATATTAAGACTCTAACTCAAGGACTGCTTGGCCTTTTTGCTCATTGCTAGCACTCTACCACTTGAGCTACAGCTCTACGTTCAGCTTTATGCTGGTTAATTGGAGATAAGAGTGTCTTGGATTTGTGTGCCCAGGCTGGCTTGGAATCTTGATCTTCAAATCTCAGCCTCCTGAATATCTAGGATTACAGGCATGAGGCATTGGTGCCTGGTTTGTTCTGTTTACTCTTAAATGGCTTTCTCAACAAATATAAAAGTACAGTTTCCAAATAAAAGATGCAAACTAGTACTCTTCCAGCTATATAACCTAAACTGACATTACCATATATGACTATCTGATCTCCAGAACTTTCACCTTGGGCTCCAGCATAGCCCTTTATTATAAATGAAAATTTTAGAGATAACTAAAAAAAAGCCATTATGTGGAATTAATTTTTAAAAAATTTTTTTTGTCCATCCTGTGGCCTGAATTCAGGGCCTGGTGCTGTCCTGGAGCCTCTTCATGCTCAAGGCTAGTGCTCTACCACTTGAGCTACAGCACCACTTCTAGTTTTTTTTTGAGTAGTTTATTGGAGGTAAAAGTTTCACGTGGACTGGCTTCAAACCATGATCCTCAGATCTCAGCCTCCTGAATAGCTAGGATTACACGCATGAGCCGCTGGTGCCTGGCTTATTGCAGAATTTAGACCTCTGTAATTGGTACTGTTTTAGGACCACTTCCATGTAAAATTACCCAATGAACACTGTCATTAGCACACTTCACACATTTTATCAGGAGGAAAATCACTTTGTCGTCTTAATTATTTTAACTAGTATGCCTTTCAAATAAAAGCATCGAAGCTGACTTGATACTAATTGTAAGTTTAGGGTATTACTCTGGTCCGCACTCTCTTTTTTCATGGTAGATTAGATTCGTTTGATTTTTCCCAATGCTTCTTGATCTTTTTTTTTTTTTAAATTGGTTGTTGGGCCTGAATTCGGCCTGGGCACTGTCCCTCAGCTCTTCATCTCAAGGCTAGCATTCTACCACTTGAGCCACAGTGCCACTTTTGGCTTTTTCTGCATATGTGGTACTGAGGCCCAGAGTTCAGGCTCCACGACCAACCCCCCCCCAAAAAAAAACCAAAACGTTTTTAGGTAGTTTTATATCTATTTTGGTAATTTTTGGCTTTAAAATTTTTGAGTTTAATAGAGCTAAAACACTGTACAACTCAGTGGTTTTTAGTATATTTATAATGTTGTATAACTTATCACAATCAATTTTAGAACTTCTTGTGATCCCTAATTGTGATCCTAATTGTGATCCCTGTCCATGTTCCCTTAAACTCCCTGTCTCTAACCAACTACTAGGTTTTGTTTGGTGGTGGTTGTGGGGTTTGAACTCTGGGACTGCACACTGTCCCTGAGCTCGTCAGCTCAAGACTAGTGCTCTCCCACTTGAGCCATAGCGCCACTTCTGGTTTTCTGGTGGTAATTGGAGATAAGAGTCTCACAGACTTTCTTGCTCAAGCTGGCTTTGAACTGCTATCTTTAGATCTCAACTTCCTGAGTAGCTAGGATTACAGACATGAGCCTCTGGCACCCAGCTAATATGTAGTCTTTTGTGCCTGGTTATTTGGCTGTTTTCAAAATTCATCCATTTATCCATATTGTAGGATGTATCAGTACTTCATTTTTAAATTTTTTTTGGGGGGGGGGTCCGGTCGTGGGGCATGAACTCTGGGCCTGGGC